ATGCTCTTAATTTTGGTTGAATCCAAGAGCATGTACCAATCAGATTCACGAATTTTACAACAGTTACAAAGCAATTTTTTCCGCTAAACGCAACCAATGCTACATTTTTCGGCTGTCACGGAGGTTTGACAGCTGAGATACCAGCCTATATGAACACATTTAATTTCTCGATTTTCACAATGTATCACCAGTATCACTGAGTTTGCTGTACATTTTATGGCTGCGAGGATTACGATAATATACACACTTCACGGAGAAACTGCAAAATAACGCGATAAAACGCAACTAATTTTCCGAGGTGTCAAGCGAAGCCTAGCGTGACCCTGACCTAGTGTTAACCAAACAGCTACGCTGACACGGTTATTTCGGCTGCGTTCGCTTTTGGCACTTACGCGCTGTAAGCATTATTCTATCTTTATCGCTCATTACATGCGGGAAGAAGATAGAATGACGCTTACAGCGCACAAGCGCCCAAAGTGAATGCAGTTTTCATGTTCTCGATATTGCTAGGCGCCACCGTCAATTCAAACTTTCTGCGGCGAGATGGCAGGGCCTCTTAAATAACCTTAATATCCTTAATAATCTTAAATTAAACCTTTTATTAAATAACTTTAAGGCTCCTGGGGAGTCGCATCATCCATCTCTTTTTAATGACGTCAGAAGCGAGAAAACGCACGCTAAAAATTCCTGCAAAATACGTCGAGATAAACAGATATATCCACAAAACAACATTTGCGATCGATTAAGTACACCTCTAAAATACTCCGTACACTTTCCTTTTGTTCTAAAAATCAATAAATAATCGGAAAATTAATATGACAAGATAATGAGGAAATTAAGTTAGAAAAGACGATTGCACGTCACATTTATTTTATAATTATCTGTTGATTGTTAGAACAAAAGGAAAGTGTACGGAGTATTTTAGAGGTGTACTTAATCGATCGCAAATGTCGTTTTGTGGATATATCTGTTTATCTCGACGTATTTTGCAGGAATTTTTAGCATGCGTTTTCTCGCTTCTGACGTCATTAAAAAGAGATGGATGATGC